GAGTGCTTTCATGATATAATACGCATCATCCGTAGAATTTATCTAAAGCAACAAATCAAAAATATATTACACGTTATTTTAGGGATGCAACAAACTCAGCTCGTCTTACCGTATCTTAATAAATTTACACTATTTGTAAGATTTAAAAATTTAAATAAAATTAGCACTACTCTTACTCAAACATAGAACTAAAAAATGATAAGGCTTTTTTGATGGGAGGCCAAAAAGACAAATATGAAAGAAATATTTTTTCTTTCAGAACAAAGCAAAGCAAACACTTGTTGTGACATTTCTTCTCAAGTAGAGTACATATATATACATGGACAAATGAAGTAGCCATTTAAAGAGTATAATGTATTTATTTAGAGAAATTAATGGCTAATATAATGTGCATTAAAACTCAATAAAAAAACATTAAAAAAATTTGCTTGCCATATAATAATGATTAAACCCTCCAGCTAAAGACGTGTCTATGAAGAATGAATATAATTTTTGCCTCAGCTTTTAGACACAGAATTGACCACGAAACACTCCCCGTCGTGCATTATTAATGTTAGTGGCTAGCAGTAACATGTATTATTATACTTACTTTAGATTTGAAAGCAACATAAAATTTTCTAATCAGATTTCTCTAGACTCGTACATCTTCCACCTGAACCTACCCGTCATGATAAGATAATATATATAATAATATAATGTTCCGGCAAATTAGCATGATTTGATCTGACAAATTTAATAATGTTGTGAGTTATTATGTTCAGAATTTGAAGTTGTTTTTAAAAAAAAGATAAACAAACGAGAATTTTACTATTGTGTCGGCATTTGTTACGTGGTTTATCCAATTGAGAATTCTGGGCAACAGTGGGTTCGTTCCATGTGGGTAGGGATTACACTGAGACCAGTGCCGTACCATCAAATACTGAGTTTGTTTTGCCTTGTTTTGTATTTTTTTTTAATAAGATAATTAGCTGTTTATAACTTAGTATGTTCAGTTTAATGAAATTAATTATTATTTTTTTTTTGGTTCCTCATTATACATTTATATCTTATCTTTTAAATTTTGTATATAATTTATCATTTCATTCATTTGATGTTGTTTTTTTTTTAATTGTTTTGTCCTCATTGTTTGTCAAAAAAATAAGAAAAAGGAAAACGAGAATTAATAGATTTATAATTCAATTGGTATTAGTATCCTTCCTATCTCGAGGCTCATGAGATTCGAATATGTAATCAAATACTATTTTTATTATTTTTAAACTATAAAAACCTACTAATTATTTTAGATAAATAGATTACAAGGATTGAGCTACAAATTCACTCCAAAATAATTTGGCAATGCCGGTTTTTTTTAAAACAAAATCTTTCATGGTTATATAGGATGAGTTGGAATAGTTTTAACAAACCAATCAAGCAAAAAATCAAATATCTATAAGATTCAACAGTTTTTAGTGCTTATGAAACGCAAGGATCATAAATTACAGAAATTTAAGATCCAGAAACATCCATTTGAAATGAGTCCCTCAAAAGTTAGAGCTAATTCCCTGGTTATAACATAAAAAAAGAATCCAATGCTCGAGTAGCGTTTGTAAAAAGTGAAACAATCACATGCGAGCATATTAAAAAAGAAGTTGACAGCCCAGGCCCAGCAGCTGCCTGCCCGGGCATGCCTTCTGAAAAGCATATCTGACTTTTCAAGGACGAAGAATCGCGCACCCGTGTTCATGATCAAAACAAAGAAGATATTTTCCTTTTTTCCTTCTTATATTAAAAAAAAATTCATTATATAACAGTATTGAAAAAAAAGTACAAAACAAACACAAAAACTTATAACATATGTAATTTTACAATTTACGAGTAATATCTAGTTAATTTCTTATCATATTTTTAAACAGCTATACTGATTTAAGTAATAAAGGAAAAAAATTACGATTCAGCTTTTTTTCGCAAAACGGGGTTGGACATATTTAAGAAATGTATGGAAAATAAGACAATAATTTCTTTCTAGCCATTTTAGAGACTTAGAGAAACCTCTTTTCAACTCATGAATGTCGTGATATGATGCTGCCATATTTTAGCACCATTCATTGTGTGTTTAAATGAATCATTTCTCTTATCATTTTTTTCATTGCTTTCGGTTTTATCTACATTTTTTTCCCCACATATGATGTTTTCTTTTAATTATTCACAGCCGTCGTCAAATTTTATAATACTAAATTAGTAATTAGTATATATATACAGTAGTTATTTCATAAATCTACTTTTGAAAAAAAAGATAGACATATAAAAAAGAAATAATCATATCTAGATATAGTAACTTACACTGTCTATCTCTCTCTATGGAGTAACTTACACTAGATACTTCTTGAATATTATAAAAAGAAAGAATTTCATCTAGATCAATCAAAAGTAATAAAAAGATTTTCACGTTGTCTCATTTTTTTTTAATTTTTTTTCTTTTTATGTCTATCTTTTTCTATGGAGTAATTTACACTGTCTATCTCTCTCTATAAAGTAACTTACACTCGGTTACTCTTTGAATAGTATAAAAACTTCTCGTCATCCTAATAACATGATATTTATGGATTGGAGGAAATTACAATCTAGGTAAGAGGAAATGTAGTTTTTTTTTTTTTAATGTCTAATAAGGTATTTTTGTATAAATTTTTATATTAATCGAGACTAAATCTATAATTTTTAAAATAAATTAGCATCCGATCATGCATGGTTCTAATTCGATTCTAAAAATCAAAATTTTTAAACCAACCAACAACAAATGTTATTTTACTTACAATATAAGATGGATGTATTCAAGCAAGATATTAGAACTCGAAACTTATTAAAAAGATAGAGACATAAATACTGATTGAGTTATAAATTAATTGGCAAATTGAATAGAATAATTAATTCTCTCTCGTCTAAGCATCTATCTTAATTTGAGTGGCCATTGTTGGCGGTGACATTTTTTTTCAATAATTTCATATCTAATATTCTTTATATTGGATTGGAATTTTTTTTATATAAATTTGTCTAGCTTATCTGGTATTTTTCTAGATTAAAGTTGTTGTTTGATTATTATTATTATTATTATTATTGTATATTTTTCTATCATTTCATTGATCTTTAACAGCAAATAAAAGTTATACGTAAAGTGCTAATGAAACAATATTCAAATCTCTAGTTTAATTTAAAAAATAAATATCAAGTAAAAGATCAAGATAGAAAAATTAATGATGAATCATCTAAAAAAAGTGTGCTAGTTGTTCGTCCACTTGTAAAATAATTTTTAATTTTTAAATCTGAATTCTAAAACTTAAGTATCTATGTCAAATTTTTATATTTTTGAGCATCCTTGCAATGGGATGTAATCCCGTTCCACTCTCTACGGAGAAAATCTTTTTATTTTTTGTTTGACGTCAGAAATAGATGTTAGAATTTTTCCTCAATTTTAATTCAATGAAATTTCCATCTCTAACAATAATAACAAAAACAATAATGATAATAATTGGCAAATGCTAGCTTGATTTAGATTTGTACTAGTTGGAAGGGTTAACGATTCGTATAATATAATACGAGTAAAAAATTTTATTTTTTGTGATTTATATAAATCGAATCTATATATAATTAATTTTTAACAAAACTAATGATATATATATATATATATATATAACGATTCGAGTCTATAGAATAAATTAAAAAATATATATATATATAAACCATATAAATTGTAGAAATATATTGAAGTCAATAAATTAAAATAAAAACTACAAAAAATTGGTTCTAATAAATACATATAAAAAAATAAAACTTGTGAATTTTTTAAACACATAACTTTTTTTAAAAAAAAATTGAGTCAAACTATCTAAAACATACTTTCAGCTCTCTCTCTCTCTCTCTCTCTCTCTCTCTCTCTCTCTCTCTCTCTCTCTCTCTCTCTCTCTCTCTCTCTCTATATATATATATATATATATATATATATATATATATATATATATATATATATATATATATGTTACCTAGCGGACTCCGAATATATAAAATAAATAAATATATATATGAAAATCTCACTTAAATTGTATGGAATAGGAATAGATTTAAATAAGAGCTACTATAAAATTGGTTTCAATAAATTCTTATAATATATATATATATATATATATATTACTTAACGGACTCAAAGTATAAAAAATATATAAAAAATTCATTTAAATTGTATGAAATATATCGAATGAATACATTTAAATAAAAACTACTATAAAATTTGTTTCGATAAATTTTAATCATATATAAATAAAATCAAATAAAACTTATGAATTTTTTAACTAATTATTAATTTTTTCTTTAAAAAAAAAAAAAGAAAGCCAGCCATTAAAAGGGAAAAATATGGTACTACTACAGTGAATGACAGCCTAGCCCTTAAAAAAAAAAAAAAAAAGGAGTAGGCCAGGATCACCCCACCCCCAAAAAAAAAAGCCAGGAAAAAAGAGGAGGCCAGCCCTTAAAAAAAAATAAAAAAAGAAACAAAGGAAGCCAGCCCGGACAGCCCTTTGAAAAAGAAAAGCAAAGGGACTAATTAATTCATGTCTCCAAGAAAAAGAGATCAAAAAGCAACAAAAAAAATTAATGAAAAAAGAGGAGGCCAGCCCTTAAAAAAAAAAGAAAAAAAGAAACAAAGGAAGCCAGCCCGGACAGCCCTTTGAAAAAAGAAAAGCAAAGGGACTAATTAATTCATGTCTCCAAGAAAAAGAGATCAAAAAGCAACAAAAAAAATTAATGAACAGGGGAATGGAGTCTGCAGGCTGCAGCTACAAAATGTGAACAGTCACGCCTGCAGTTGGTTTAGGTCTTTTTTTAATAGTGGCTCGAACGAATTTTTGCTACCAAATTAAATATCAATTAACCAATTATTATGCATTATTTCGATCTATATAAGGGTAGCCGCCCCTCTGATTTTTCATCAACTATCCCCTCAATTTCTCTTAACAGCAGAAAAGTGCGACCATATGTGCGATATCCAGGATATCTCCCCTGCGGGCTCAACTGAGCCTGACGTTGCCCATAATTTTTCTCCCCTCGTCATCATCTATAAAGATGGCAGGGCAGAAAGACTCGTCGGCAATGAAATTGTCCCCACTTCTGTAGATCCCGAATCAAATGTTCTGTCCAAAGATGTTGTCTATTCACAAGAAGAAAATTTATCTTCTAGACTTTTCCTTCCAAACAACATCAATCCTAACAAAAAACTCCCTCTTTTAATTTACTATCATGGGGGAGGCTTCTGCGTTGAGACACCGTTCTCACCTACTTACCACAGCTATGTCAACATGTTAGTTGCAGAGTCTCAAACAATTGCCATCTCAGTTGATTATAGAAGAACCCCAGAACATCCTATCCCCATTCTATATGATGATTCGTGGACTGCTATTAAATGGGCCGCATTTCATGTTAATGGAGATGGTCCTGAAGAGTGGCTAAATAGCCATGCTGATTTTAACAGGGTGTTTTTTGCTGGAGATAGTGCTGGTGCTAATATAGCTCATCACATGGCCATGAGGTATAGTGAAGAGAAATTATTTGGTGTTAATCTTGTAGGGAATATTTTAATGAATCCTTTTTTCTGGGGCGAAGAATCTATTGGCAATGAGGTTAATGAACAAGTGATGACACGAGAACAGATTAAGAAAATTTGGCATCTTGCATCCCCTACAACAAGTGGATGCGATGATCCTTTAATTAATCCGATCATGGATCCAAAATTGCTGAACTTAGGGGGCACAAAGGTACTTGTTATTGTTGCTGAGAAAGATTTTTTGAGGGATAGGGGGTGGCTGTATTACGAGGCCTTGAAGAATAATGGGTGGGGTGGAAGGGTTGAAATTATGGAGGTCAAAGAAGAGGGTCATGTTTTCCATTTGTCCAATCCTGCCTGTGAGAATGCTGTGGCTATGCTTAGAAAAATTGTTTCTTTCATACATGAAGAATAGCTGAATGCCATCTGTTATCTCTAAAGATTAGTTCTTGGTTTCATGAGCATGATGACTCAAGATTATAAACTTCTATGTAGTGCTTGGTTCCCTTTTTATCAATTTTTGAGTTATCTTAATATCATGTAATGTACGGGGGAAATCATGAAGCTAAACGAAATAAAAGGGCATCGAGGTTGTGTGTGTTTGTTTGGGAAAAAACAAGTTTTTGAAACTTGTTTTTCTCCATTTTTCGGTGTTTGTTTCACATTAAGAAAAAAAAAGTCAATGAAAAATGATTTTTAATTAACAAAAAATGATAGAGTAATTTTGAAAAAATGTTTTTCAGTTTAAAAAAAGGAAAACATTTTTCTTTTCACGACTTGTCTCGCTTTCGTTTTACTTAACTCTCTCTCGATATATTTTAACAATTTTTTCTCAATCTTTTTTTATTTAAAATATATCATATTAATTTTTAATTATTTCTTATTAATTATTATTAATTATTTAATTATTTTTTCTCTATTTTTACTAATATTTGATTTTTTTATTTATAGATACATTAAATATTCTTAAAAACTAATTTTACATCTTAAAATTATTTTTATAATAAATATTTCAATAACTTATCTCTTTTTTTTAACTATTGTCTCAAACACGGCCTAAGCTATAGTTAAATGATCGAAAATAATTATTAAAAGACTATAATTTTTTGTAAAAAAAAATTGAAATTAATTAATTCATCGTTAAATACATTATTTTTTCAACACAATTCATTTGCAATTAAATCAATAATTTTTAATTTTAATCAATTGTAAAATTTTGTTAGTAATTGTAATGAATAATTAGTTACAAATTATTTCAACATTAATCTTTTGAGACCAAATAAATAATTATTTATAAATGATAACTAATAATTTATAAAATTATTTTTTTGGCTAAATTATCAGTTCATTTTAAAAAAAAAATTCTTAATTGAGTTACCAAAATAATAATGCTAGGATTAATTAGAATCTTTTTTACTAAATATGAATATTGACTTGATTTTGTCCCAAGTAATTTTGATGATTTGGTTTGATGGTTAAAAAAGTACATTTTGTTTTTTGAATTAAAATTTTAGAGTTGGTATTGATGAAAATTTATTAATTTTTTTCTAAATATATGTTATATTATGAAATTATGAATATGTCTTTTTAAAGTTTTCTCAAAACTTGATATAACAATCACATAAGTTTTTGTATTTTAATTTTTTGTATCAACCAAACGTTAAAATATATTTTTTAATAATTTTTTCATATAATTGCCAAATGATAAAAAATATGTTCTTGAAAAACAATTTTCTGAAAAAAGCTTCCTCGCGAATTGGTTTTCTCATAGAACTTATTTTCCCTCAAACAAACATAGCATGAGTAGTGTTTTTTAATAAGAAAATTCAATTAGCGCCCCACTTATTTTCGTTGAAAGAAATTAATCGAAATCATAGAAATTAGGATTTAGGGCTTGCCATTTAAAGATAGTTGAGATAAAAAGTTTTTCAATTTTCTTAAGTGGAATGAAATGTTCGAGCAGCGAAGTGTCTTGGCTTTTCGTTTGGGTTCCCTGTAATGTATGTGAGGATATATGGATATGTAAATAATTATCATAAATAACATAATAAAAAAAATATTTTATCATTTTTCAGAGGAATATAATTCTTTTCTTGAATGATTATCAAATTTTTTTTTATAAAAATATGAAAATATTTAAATGGAAAATCATCACATCAGTTTTGTAGGTCAAAGAGAGAGAAAAAAGGTCTTCCACAGATCCTTTCAAGATAAGAAACGACAGTAATTAGTGGAAATGTAGGAACGCATAACAAAGTGGGAATTCAACCAATAGATGCCAAGGTAGTACCTATATTGCTAATACTAAAAAAATTTAAAAGATCTGAAATTGTCACTGTTTATTTACTGTAGTAATTTTTTTTTGGGTTGAACGGCCTTGGTTGCCTGGCGCACTGGCCGGCACTTGCAAGCACAAGCACGCGGCTTGTCCTGACAGCTCGCGCCTGGCCCCCTTTTTTTTTTTTTTTCCTTCTTTTCTTCGTGTATATATAGAGAGAGCAAGGGGAAAAAAAGAAGCCAAGCTCGCGCCTGGTTGCCCTATGCGAGGCTGGGCTTTTTTTTTTTTTTTTTTTTTTTTTTTTTCTATATATATGTATGTGTATGTATGCGTCGTCATAAAATTAAGAGTAAAAAATAAAAAAATAATTCGTTATTTTTTTTTATTTTTACGTATAGTTTAAAGATGATCGAATATATATTATATTTTTAAAAATTTTAGTTTGAGTATATATATCTAATTATATTACCTTTATTATTTAAAATTTATTTCTTCAATTATTTGTTTCTTACTAAAATTTTCATCGAATTAATTTTTTGATATAATTTTATTTGTTCATAAATTTAATTTTTTAATATATGAATTTTGAAATAAAATTTTAGAATGTCGGTGTCTTATTTTTTTAAAAATATATTATTATAATTTATGCAATAAATTATTTTTATACTTTTTTGCATGAATGTTTTATTTTTTAAAATATATTATTATAATTTATAAATTTTGATTATATATATATATATATATATATAGAGAGAGAGAGAGAGAGAGAGAGAGAGAGAGAGAGAGAGAGAGCGAGAGTATATTTTAGATAGTTTTGCTCGATTTTTTTTAAATTAATAATTAGTTAAAAAAATTCATAAGTTTTATTCATTTTTTATATATATTTATTCAAAATCAATTTATTGTAGTTTTTATTTTAATCTATTGACTTCAATATATTTCATATAATTTAGTCGACCTAGCCTTTTTGCTTTTTTTTTCTTCACACACACACAAACACACGTGTGTGTGTGTGTGTGTGTGTGTGTGTCATGAAATTAGGTGTGAAAAATATAAAAAGTAAATCGTTATTTTTTTTAGTTTTGTTTTTATACCTTTTTAAATGAATGTTTTATTTTTTAAAATATATTATTATAATTTATAAATTTTGATTATATATATATATATATATATATATATATATAGAGAGAGAGAGAGAGAGAGAGAGAGAGACGAGAGTATATTTTAGATAGTTTTCCTCGATTTTTTTTTAAATTAATAATTAGTTAAAAAAATTCATAAGTTTTATTTGCTTTTTTATATATATTTATTCAAAATTTATCAAAATCAATTTGTTGTAGTTTTTATTTTAATCTATTGACTTCAATATATTTCATATAATTTACCGAGCCTAGCCTTTTTGCTTTTATTTTTCTTCACACACACGCGCGCGCGCGCGCGCGCGTGTGTGTGTGTTATGAAATTAGGTGTGAAAAATATAAAAAGTAAATCGTTATTTTTTTTAGTTTTGTTTTTATACCTTTTTAAATGAATGTTTTATTTTTTAAAATATATTATTATAATTTATAAATTTTGATTATATATATATATATATATATATATAGAGAGAGAGAGAGAGAGAGAGAGAGAGAGAGAGAGAGAGAGAGAGAGTATATTTTAGATAGTTTTGCTCGATTTTTTTTTAAATTAATAATTAGTTAAAAAAATTCATAAGTTTTATTTGCTTTTTTATATATATTTATTCAAAATTTATCAAAATCAATTTGTTGTAGTTTTTATTTTAATCTATTGACTTCAATATATTTCATATAATTTAGTGAGCCCGGCCTTTTTGATTTTTTTTTCTTCACACACACACACACACACTATATATATATATATATATATATATATATATATACATAGAGAGAGAGAGAGAGAGAGAGAGAGAGAGAGAGAGAGAGAGAGAGAGAGAGAGAGAGAGAGAGAGAGAGAGAGAGAGAGAGAGAGAGTATATTTTAGATAGTTTTGCTCGATTTTTTTTTAAATTAATAATTAGTTAAAAAAATTCATAAGTTTTATTTGCTTTTTTATATATATTTATTCAAAATTTATCAAAATCAATTTGTTGTAGTTTTTATTTTAATCTATTGACTTCAATATATTTCATATAATTTAGTGAGCCCGGCCTTTTTGATTTTTTTTCTTCACACACACACACACACACAAACACACACGTGTGTGTGTGTGTGTGTGTGTGTGTGTCATGAAATTAGGTGTGAAAAATATAAAAAGTAAATCATTATTTTTTTTAGTTTTGTTTTTATACATTTTTAAATGAATGTTTTATTTTTTAAAATATATTATTATAATTTATAAATTTTGATTATATATATATAGAGAGAGAGAGAGAGAGGGGGGGGAGAGTCGCGAGTATATTTTAGATAATTTTGCTCGATTTTTTTAATAAAAAATAATAATTAGTTAAAAAAATTCACAAGTTTTATTTTCTTTTTTATATATATTTATTCAAAATTTATCATAATCAATTTTGTTGTAGTTTTTATTTTAATCTATTGACTTCAATATATTTCAAATAATTTAGTGAGCTTAGCCTTTTTTTTTTTTTCTTCACACACACACACACACACATATATGCGTGTGTGTGTCGTGAAGTTAGATGTGAAAAATATAAAAAGTAAATCGTTATTTTTTTTAGTTTTGCATACGAGTTTGAAGATGATAGAATATATATGATAATTTTTAAGATTTCAGTTTGAACATATATATTTGATTATACTACTCTTATTGTTTAAAATTTATTTCTTTAATTATTTATTTCTTATTAAAATTTTCATCAAATTAATTTTTCGATACAATTTTATTTGTTAATAATTTTTTTTTAATATATGAATGTTTGAATAAAATTTTAGAACGTCGGTGCTTTATTTTTTAAAAATATATTATTATAATTTATAAATTCTGAATATATATATATATATATATAGAGAGAGAGAGAGAGAGAGAGAGAGAGAGAGAGAGAAAGAGAGCTAAAAATATATTTTAGATAGTTTGGCTTTTTTAAAAAATAATAATAGTAATCAATTACAAAATCACAAGTTTTATTTGCTTTTTTATATACTTTTTTTCGGAATTTA